TTGAAATACGTTCCCATCGCACATCAGTAGTTACTCTCATTAACCACAGATTGAACTCGGCAAGCGGTGTGCGGTTCCAAAGCTACCCAAGAAGGCTCTGCTGCTGGCACGAGCGCGCTGACAGCCGGCTCACCGCAGCGACAGAGCTCCCACAGCGGGGTCCGCAGGGGGCTCCGGGGCCGCGGCTCCCAGGCTGAGCTCTACACAGAGTGGGTCCGAGCCGTCTGCTGCGTCTGACAGCGGATACCGTCACCTCGCTGAAGAGCTCGAGGTGCTGCTAACTCCAATGGCGTTAAAACGCAGCAGGAAGGACCTCCACGGGACGCTCCGCAGCTGATGCAACCCCTTCTGCGTGAATCTCGTGGACCATTCCGCACACAAACATTTTTCTTCTTCTCTGGCTAACAGCACAAAATTCACATCTGCCTTGTATTAATTGCTGTGATTAAAAGGCAGACCTGAAAGCAGCAGTCAGTAATCACTCGCATTCAAAAGCTTCGCTTTTAGCAAAAAACCAACCAAACAACATCAGCCACCTCTTTTTCCTCTGCATCTGCTTCCCTCGGTGGCCTTATTACAGTTTGCATTGGCCAGAGATGGAGCCTGTTCTAAACAAAAACATTGCCCGCTACCGCGGTTTGAGGAGGAATATTTCTGAGAGCAGAATGTCCAGTCCCAAGGGCAGCTATGGCCCAAAGCCGAGACGCACACCCCGCATTCTACACAGGTCTTGTGCTTTCTTCGCCAAGTTCCCGATGAAAGGCTACAGCCGGAGCTGCGGGGCTCAGTAAGAACATCCTGGAATATTGTTTTGCGTGGTACATACTTTGCTTACAAGCAAACTTACCCCGTTGTTCAGGTTTACTTTTTCTGGCACTGCTTTATTTCGCTACAAAGCTCCATCACCTTCTAAGACAAGACCTTTAATGCTAATATTTCTTTTAAAGCTAGAACACAATGTCCAACAACCTTCCAATTTCTTTCAAATTTAATGACTTTAAACTGAAATAATGACACATCCTAATGAGTAAGTTTACACAGAGAGATATATATATA